AAAAGAAAGACGATAAGTACACTTATCATGCTACATAAATAAATCAAACAAGTAGTCAGAATCTGTGACGCGTAGATTAAATAAAACAATTTGATTTGTATGTAGTCGTTGAACTTTTGGAACATATTTCGAATCGGTTTGTGTCAATAAATGTCTTATCTTTGTTTTATTTTCTGAGATTTTATTTGGAGGGAAAATTTGTTTTCATAAACGGAAATTTTGAGAAATTGGACCTTTAAAAAATTGTTTGAATTTCTGCTTCAAAGATGCAAACTCGAAATTAAAGTTCTCAAAAGATGCGAAAACTAGACCAAGTTTCAAACAAAAAGATTCAAATCCAATTAAAGATGCAAAAAAACTTAACTTACATTTGCCTCAAATGATGCAAAACTTGACATTTAAGATGCAAAAAGTTCATTCCAAACAACAATTTTTATGCAACTCTAGATTAATGACTAACAATTTTTTTGTTGTTCCACATTAGACACCGAAAATTTCACAATACGAAGAGAAAAAAAAAAAGTCTTTTAATTTGCACATTTTAAGAGAATAAAAGCTTCAGTTATAATTGACTCACCCCTCTCGTAGACTCGACTTTATTTGTGGAAAAAAATAAGTCTTTTGTTGCTTTTTTAATTATATGTTAAATCCAGGCAATTGCTACAATTTCGTGCATACACAAAAAAATCTCCTCTTTGCACCTGATAAAAAATGAATTTCGCTGTTCAATTTAATGACTTTCTTTTATTTTTCTTGATATGGATATGCTGCTTATTATTAATTCCACTTATATGTAGATAATTTTTTATACAAAATATTTTTCACACCCGAAATAATAAAATCCAGATTGTGGAGCCTTTAGGTTGAAGATGTAAACTACTCAGTTGGTCAAGAACTTGAAGCCTTTTTATTCGGTTCTAATTCCGCTTATCGTGTGTAATGTAATCAATTTTGATTATCGTTCATGTGCTCTTCTTTTTATTATTATTTCTTGATTAAACAATGCTTTGTTATCAACAATGTACCGTACAGAGAGAGAGAGACACTAGCTTTAATTTCATGCGAAAGTAAAAAAAAATATTTTAATGCTTAAGCTATCCACGTTTACACTCGATGAAATCCCAAACAAGACTAGTTTTGTAGAAAAAAAGTTAAAAATGTTAACTTTATTTTATGTTTTGTAAAGTTATTGTTTTGCGTTGCTGCCTGCTGTCCGTTGAATGTTTTCCGCGAATGTATACAGCTATAAAATATCGTGACTAAGATTTTTGTTAGCATTTAAGTCGTCGATTCTATAAAAGCAATTAGTGATTTTAATTAAAACCTTATATTTATTGCATTAGATTCAATGATATGCACGAAATAGTGTTCAATAATAATCTATGTAATTTTATTTGAATAATTTAGGATGTAAAGATGTAAAGGTTGAGAATATCTGATCAGATGTTTTATTGCTTGCCGTTGGAATGTTTTATTTGTAATATTATTTTTTTGATTGAACATCTGACTGGATGATAAGCGTTTATACACAGATTAATAATTGAAATGATGAACTTGATCACTGATGAACTTTGTGTTAATGAAATTGACTGTTAAATTAACGGTTAAATTATCTTTAAATTTGAATGATTTTTGGTAAATTCCAGGATTTTTTTTTATTTTATTCTCGGAATTTTTTTGTTGTTTATCGCACTGCATGTGCACATTATGAGTGCTTCAGCTTGTGTTTGTGTAAACTGATAGCTATAAATAGCTTGTTATCAGCAATATTATCAAATTAAAATTTTTCCAGTCTTATTCAGAGTCAATGATGTTAAATTAGCAAATGATTCAAATAATTAAAAAACGTTGATTCGATAATCGACTGAAATTCTCAGCATGACTCAGGAGGTGTGAAAAACATCCAAATTGCTGTCATAAAATAGCATTCAATCTAGTGATTATGCAACACATATCTGCTAAATTATTTTATTGCTATAATCAGATGATTTTAATTGCCTCACAATATCGGATAGTAAGCCGGCATGAAAGGGAAAGTGTTGACTTCATTATTTTTGTTTCTTTCTTGCCTTATTGTCTCTCTCTCTCTATCTCTCTTACTCAGCGTTGTTATTGATTAATAAAAATGAATCAAAAAGTCGAGAATAATAAAGAAAGGCTGAGCATGTAAAAGAAGTGAAACTTGACATGAGTGAAAATCAGTCAGGGTCAGTTGATCAATATCCTGATGAATCTAATGAAAGAAGACAAAGAAGACTCTTGACAAATCAAGGCAATGATCATGACGAAAGTGCGATTAATGCTGAAAAATATTAATTATTGAGAAATATATAAAAGTTATAGAAAATTTCAATTACAAAAAGCTTCATTGATCGTACGTACGAGGAAGAAACAAAGAGATTATTGTGTATTTTCCATTTTTCTCTTTCAATCTTGCAAAATTGGTGGCAAAAAGGAAAAGTGACATTTCTGCCAGTTCACGAAATAAAACGTTTCTATCTATATTTCAGCTTGAGAAACTGCCATTTCAAAGTTGTCGTGCTTATTTATTCATTTAAGATTTAATTCTGCATTTAAAAAAATGCGTTCGATAGCTCACTTTGTAGCCTAGCCGAAAGTGAAACCATTTCTTTTAATACACGTTTACAATAAATCAAAGCATAATATTTGATCTTGTCGTGATGTTGCTGGCTCTTTTTTGTCTGGTGAAAAATGTAAATACGGTTAAGTCATTTGGGTTAGGCTTTAAAATGTTATATTTTGCATTAAGCAATTAACAGCTTTTTATTAAATATTGACTAATTTTGTGTGTCGACTTTCTGATTTTGGATTTATCTATCATCTACAAAGCTCGCTGATTGAAATTTAGAAAATAACGGTTTTTTGAGATTCAAAAATTGATCTACGAAAATTCAACGAACTTCTAAAATTCAAATTAAGATCTACAAAAAATAATCTTGATGAAAATTTAAATTGCAAAGAACCGTTAAAATTTCAAATTACTTCCTCACACTAATGTCACTTAATTATACTAAATGATCATTAAATAAGGCCATGCAACTTAAATTACAATAAATAAAAATTAATTTAGAACAAAAGACTTCCTATTTAATGTCCACAATAAAAATTTACAATGAATAAGCAGTGGTCAAGATAAATTTGCGAAGATAAACAGCACAAAAGCCAAAAATCGATAGACGAGCCATAAAACTCGCAAACTTGTCTATCATAATTTATTTATGAGCGCATCAGTTCAAATAATGTTAATCATCGGAAATGTTTACTGTCTATTCAGGTTCTGTTTTTATGTTACACACTTTTAACAACTATAAAAATATTCTTTTGTATTACAAAATTGGCCAATATTTACCTTGCCAAAAAAAAAGAAGATTCCGTTACTTTATTTATCACATTTTTCACTTCAAATAATAGCCACTCATGAATGGTCCATAAAGTTTTTTTTCCGTAAGTATTATTAATTTAAAAAATTATGGACGGTGTTAAAGATGAATCTATTCTTTTTGTGGGATTCCATTCGTCTTTTAAAAATATTATTAAGTCTAATAGAGACATGTCGAATGAGTTCATTTGGGGATAAATTTACAGCACTTAAAGATATTTAGGCAGCAGTAGATTTCTTACTGTCTATGAAAATGGGGCGTTTTGTGATTGAGTGTGAGGCTGTAAAGTATGTAATTCAGTCAAGTGGATATATCAACTTTCCATTAAAAGTTTATTATTAGGCATATAATTAGTTTTGTACAGCAGTCACACTTATTTTCATATGTGGAGCTTAAAATACTTAAACTTGCAAGTTGATTGAACGATAGTTGTAAGTTTTCTAACGTCTCTGATAAATGCTTCCGGCGATTTGTTTACCATATTTCAAAAAGGTGCTTTAATTGCCTCTAGTTTCATCATTTCTAGCCTCTTGCGAATGGGGATGTTCAAAGGTCTTTAGAAAAATGATTTATTTGTGCAAATAACGACTAAAGAGTTTAATTTAATAAGGGAAAATGGAGTAAAATGAGGAAAAGCTAATTTGTTCGTTAAAATGCATTCAGTGAAAAATTTGAATCTTGAGAAACAATTAAAATTTGATTTTTTTTGACCGTTAAAAATTCAAATATTAAGAAACCGTTAATTATTTAATTCTTTTCTTAAAACTTGTTTTATTTAATCCACTGAACCAAGATATTAAGTCCCATTCATTCAGTCAACCAGTTTTATGTCGCTAAAATCTTTCTTCATTTGAATAAATAATATGTAAGAAAAAGAGTTCAATGTCTTTTTATTCAGTATGTGATCACACAGCAAGTCTCTTGTAGCATTATGACTCTCTTTTCTATTACGTGACTAACTCTCTTTACTTTTATTTCCATCTCTGTCCATCATCATTTGCACAAAATTCTCTGTTTATATTTTTTGTTCGTAAATGTAAAGCCAAAAAAAAGTATGTACAGAAATACGAAAATACGCGAAACGACAAGATGCAACAGAAAAATGTAGAACAATCTGTTTGTAGACTGGAAAGATGCACGATATGAAATGTGCGTATTAAATTAACAAAATGAACATCACCTATTAAAAAGTCACGTAGACCAATGTTTGATACTTAAAATTAAATATAAATAGATAGATAGGCCTAAAAATTTCTATAAAAAAAGAGCAGGAGAGAGGAGAGAGAGCATATATAAATGATTGGGGTATATGACGCAAGCGCATTGAACTGGATTTTTTTGAGTAATTTTAAATAATTGATAAAAAGTTGTCGTCTAAATTATCACAATAATATACGACTGATTTATGTCCACATTCGATGCTATCAGCTATGACTTATATATACAGTCATGATCACTAAACCCTGGATAATCAAATAGTCTCTCTCTCATTCCGACCAGCTGTGTTTGATTCTCTCAATGAAAAAACAGACACAACCGGAGAGTAAGAAAAAAAAAAAAATATCGAAAAGTCCAATTTCTGTATTCAGTTTTCACGAGTCGAGGTGTTATGAAGGGAGTACGGCTGCATAGTGCTAGAAATCGTTTGAACACAATTAATTACACAAAATTTTCGCCACCAGATTTCAGTGTGTGGTTGAAAACAATTGTAATTTAATTGTGCACACTTAATTGACGTGTTGTGCCTATTAATACAATCACTTTGGGGTAGGAACCAACGGAAGCGGACACAAAAATGAAAATTTTTAAAAGAATTTTTTTCCTACTTTCGTCTTCATTTTGTGTATAATTTTTTTTTTTTGTTAATTCGTTGCTGTATATGCTGAGTGTGTGTGCTTAATTCTCAATCATTCGTACGAAATGTGTACTAAATATTAATTTTAAATAAGGAAGAAGAAGAAGAAGCTTCTCCTGTAATACGTTTTTTATATGACATCAACAACTGATGTTGAGGCTTTTGCCTTTAAGTACTCATTTTGGACTTTATGAGGAAGTGATGGAATTTAAGAGTGTTGACTTGACTGTGTATATATAATTAAGCATTGAAAAGTAAATAAATAAACAGAAGGAGAAACTGAGAAATTGAAAAAACCAGTTTGCATTACAATTTTTTTGCGTATATATATGCTGAAGAAAAATCATAACAAGCACACAAATTAGCAAGATATTATAAAGTATTAGACCATACAGCTTGCTTGAGGATTGAGAAATGATGTTGCGACAATTTATAAGTTATGTTAAAAATTGCAGTCGAAAGAGAAAATGCGATGAAGATGACGATGCAAAAGAAGGTTAAATATATTTCATAGAATTATGTGCTCCCTCCTACCTACCTCCTTTGTTCCTACCTTCCTATGTTACATCATTAAAGCGCATTTTTGTGGCTTTTTTGGTGACCGAAAAGCTGATTATGGGATGAATTGTGGGATTTTAAAAATTATCCAAAATTTTCTGACATAAACGTGCTGGAAAGCTGCAAATTTGTCAATGAATTAAAAATTGAATCTTTGGATTAAAAATTAAATCCATAGATTAAAGTGTGGATTAAAAAGTTAAATCAAACCTGTATCTCAGGAACAATCAGTAAATCAAAAATGATTCAAGATTCTATCATATAAAACGAGCTTTATAGCTGCTCACATTTTATACACATCTCGACGACCTTCTTACAACTTTTTAATTTTTAAAAGACCTCAAAAAGCATCGATTGACATTTCTTTTGTGTCCCCAATTTCAATTCCAGATTTATCAAATGGAAATGTTGTAAACGGAACAACAAGCAACAGCATCAATATGTCCGCGGCTACAAATTTCACAATTACACCATGTCAAATAAAGGCACCGTTAGTTGTCATCATTGTTGGACTTCCATTTCGTGGCAAATCATTTGCAGCTCACAAAATATCCAGAAATTTGTTTTGGAAGGGAGAGGACGTGAAAGGTGCGTTTGATCTACATTTTTAAAAAGAAATTTATATGCCATAACTAAATCTATTAAATGCTTATTTCCAGTATTTGAAGTTGAGGAGAAGACGAGTGAGGAGACCCTAAAATATATCACAGAGTGGTTCGAGACAGGCCATAATGTTGCCGTAAGGATTATTGAAATGATTTGGTGAAGCCATAAATTTCACCACTTTCATTCTCTATAATCTATGTTGTAGATCATCGATGGAATGCATTTAACGAAGCAGGACAGAAGTATCGTGGGAAAGTATTGTCGCGAGAATGTCTACCATCATCTCATCATCGAGTTTGAGTGTGAGGAGAGATGCGTTGAAGAGAATATTAAGGACACAGCACAGTTTTATCAGAAAGTCGATAATAATCAGGACTGGTTGCAGACCTTCCGTGAGAAAAATGCCAAATACAAGAATCAATTCGAAAGATGTTCACCACACGAGGGACCACTTATCAATGTCACCAACTCCGAGAATGTATTGATTCATTCCGTTAAGGCCCGTGGTGTTCAAGGATTATTGCAGACAATCATATTGGGTGTTTTGTCAGCACCAGTTATCAAAAATCGTACATTCTTCTTCAGTAGAGTGAGTAGGCTCGTCGAGAGTGTCAATATGTCAATTAATTATTCTCTCTTTATAACATCATTAATTCTAAATACGTAAACTTATATGCGTCAGTTTGATGCTCTTATTTACTACTGTTTTATTGTTAATCAGGAATTTTATTTACGTAATTAAATTTCGCAACTACTTAACGTATTTCTTAAATTTAAATATTAACGTCTTTTTTGATTTTGAAATTTTTTAACGAAACTTTTGAATTCAAAACTTAACGTATATATCGTTAATAGATCTTTTAAATTCAAAAATCGGTTAAAAATTTTAAATGAACAAAACCTTAAACTTTTAGCACGGAGAATCAGAATTCAATGTTTTGGGACGTATCGGAGGTAATGCTGATTTATCATCAAGAGGAAGAAAATATTCAGAGAATTTAGCAAAGCAGTTGGGCGGTCCAGGAAGCAATCCAAATGGACCAAAACCCAGATTAGTAAGAATAATTAAGGTATATGCTTAATTAAATTATTAACATAATAACTTTCCATTAAAGATCTGGACATCAGAATTGCAACGCACTATTCACACAGTTCAAAATATTCCTGGTCCACGTACAACTTTGAAAGATCTCAATGAGATCAATGCAGGAATATGTGAAGGACTCACATATGAAGAAATTCAGGAAAGATTTCCACAAGAATTTGCCTGGCGTGACCAGGATAAATTAAAATATAGATATCCACTTGGCGAGTCATATTTGGACTTGTTGCAAAGAGTAGACGGCGTCGTTCAGGCACTTTTATTAAACACAGATGTCTTGGTTGTTTCACATCAAGCTGTCTTGAGATGCATTTTGGCATACTTCAAAGGCAGCAGTCCAGGTAATTTAATATTAAGCATAGCTGTTGAATGTCATTTGACTTAATTATATTATAATTTATTGCAGAGGAAATTCCATACGTCAATGTCCCACTTCACACTTTATTGATTGTCAAATCGTATGGATATGACTTTAAAATCGAGACAGTCCCGTTGAAAGGTAAATTATGCTGATATATGTACACTCTAATTTGGATAATGGCTATGATCTTTTTATGATTGGCATAGTATATAGGAAATCGTGCACATGTACACAGTCACATTGTATAAATCTTATAACAAATGCATGAGATTAGTAATTATGCTTGCAAAATAACTCTTCACTTCTTTCTTTCTCTGTACCTTTTCGTAGTTGAATGCGTTGATACATACCGCATACAGCCAGCCAATTGCTCTATTGAGAGAACCGCAGCTGACGCTTTGAAGACCGTTCCAGCGCATTTTGATGCACCTATAATTAATTAACATAAGGATGACGCCGAATCTGCACCAGCTAAGCAAATTAAATTAAGCAATGATTAATTTCGTTTCCTTATTGGTGAATCCTACATATATATTTTTGTTTAAAACTATCGCTTTATTGCAAATATGGTTTTTCTTTTTGGATATAGTTTAATTAATCATTTTGGGACGATTTATCTCAAATTCCAAAATTATTCTAAAGCAAATTAGGATTCTAGGAGGCACCTATAAGTAAAAAAAAAATATTATGATAAAAAGTCTCAAGTATTTTTTCTTCTCTTTTTTTCTATTTTAATTAATTAACAAAACAAAAAACAAGTGTTTGAGATATAAGAATTATAATTTAAATAATTGTGCATTTTTGTTGCCATCTGCCAATCATTTTCTGGTTTTTTTACATATCAATCTATTCGTAGTTTAGTTTTATATGAATTGTATGACACTAATAGTTTTATATTTTTGAGTTTAGTTTTGATTAATTTCGTTAAGTTATGTAATGGATATCCACTTTTTTTTTTTAATTTTATAGATAAAGATTTTATTGACAAGACTTCGATTTGATCGTTATGCGGACTAAAAAACATAATTAACTGTAGAAAGAAAAAGAAAAAAACAAATTATGAAAATTATTTTTGATTACAAATGGATAAAGAATAAACTTAAAGATTGAATAATAATGCAAAACACAAAATTGTAAGTGATAAAATTAGAGATTCGAGAAGACGATGTTCAAAAGTCACATTTTGTGAACGTGACTCAAGTAGCTCTAGCGTATTTATGCTGAATTTGGGGAATTAATGGGGAGCAAATTGTAAAAATAATGATTGGTGGTTTAAAGGCTTTTTAGAATTTGAAATTTAACGGCTTTTTGATATTTAAAAAGTGAACTGGACTGAAATGAAATGAAAAGATTAGTGAATGACTTGGATTTAAATAAATCAAAACCGTTAAAGATTTAAAATTAAATATTTTGTAAATAAAAGCTTATGCAAATTTAGTCATACATAAGCATAATCTGGCAGATTGCTGTGAATTCATAGCTTATCACAAATATCAAGCCATTTAGATAGAGAGATACAGAAAAGTACAATCTTCAGCATAAATACGCGAAAATTAAAAATTATAAAAAGGTATAAAATTTCAAGAGCAAGTGCTATGAAATGGAATCAAATATTTAGAATTTTGAATAGTTTTTTTTTGATTTTGAAAAGATTAAGAATATATTTTTTTAAGTTTTTCCTCTAAATGACATTCAGACCTCCCCGAGCACGTGTTTGATTTTCTTTGCCTGTTTTTCTCTCATTCTCAAGGTCAATATGATGAGAAAATCTCACTTTCCTTTTCAAATCCCATACATTGTTTAGTCATGTGCTTTGGCGCATTAAAAGAAGTAAAAAGAAAAATCTATGGAAAATTCATATTTACGAACACAATTGCTTGTAGACAGCACAAGAAATTATTGGACATTAAAAAAACACAAAAAATGATAATAATTGGAAAACTATACCTGAAAAGAATCCACAAAAAGAATATAATATCCTTAAATATATATATTTAATGTCTATGCATGCAAAATAGTTGAAAAATTTGTTATTCGTAGTGGTTAAATTGAGGACATTTTTGAAAAAAAAAAAATCTATCTGCTTAAAATAAGTCAATTAACTACTCACAATTCACTTTATTGCTTCGTATATTGATGCACAAGTCTTTAAGGAAACAATTAAAAAAATCCATAGTTTGTGCGAATTGCTGAATCAGACATTAATTAGCCATATTAAATCAGTCAGGAACATATAAATAGACATAAACTGCCATTCACTGAAAAATATCGAAAAGGAAGTTATTTCCAAAATTGAGGTTTCTTGACGTTCGTCTTCGTCTTTCTTGACATCGTTTATTGCTCCTTAGAATGTCATCTTTCCATAGACATGCATAAAGGTTGTTTGAAGGAGAATGCAATGACGTAAAAGAGGAATTGAGGACAGAAGTAAAGGTACTGTCAGGAAATCTCAAAAATATTACATAAAAAAATGAGAAATGAGACAATTGAAAGAAAATAATATGTAGATAGTAAGGAACAAATCCAAGAATTATTTAAAACATGCTTGAGATCATTATTTAGTTGCTGTTACCTTTCGTGGATATAGCATGGGCTTTATAGCCTTTATATGAAGCAAAAACGTTCAATTATCGACCCCTGAACCAAAACATTACCAATAACACATCAAATTGCCGCCACATGCACATTAATTATCACAGCTTGTCTAAAAAATAATTGACAACACTTTTCAAGGATATACCGGTCAAGTTCAATGAAAATGCCTGAAAATGAGCATCTTCGTATGTCTTCTTGTTCTCTATACACAGAACAAAAAATCAATGAACTCAGAAAAGTCATGAAAATATACCGAGAAAGGCAAATAGAGGACACAAGTGCTTGTTTTGAAGGAGAAATGTGATTTTTGACACTTCAACTTCAATCATTCTTGAATGGTAATTTTAGCAGTTCTGGGAAAGGCTTTTGATCAATAATAGATTTATGGGATACAGCGACGAACATTAGACAGAGTTTTACATAACATTTCATAAGGTTTAATTGACAGTTGTGAAATATAAAATTAGGCTTTGAATCACGGACATTATTGATCAACTTGCTTGTCATCATTGCTAAGTAATCAAGGTTGATCTTGATTAAAATTATCAGAAATAAAATTTTTGGCACCTGAAGTTGAATAAAAAGTTTCGAGGCAGCTAAATTTTGATCTCTAAGTCAACGAAATGTTTTCCAAATTTTCCCTATTTTTGCAAAACAAGTTAAAATAATTAAGAAAAGCTTAAAGGAAAGTGAAGAATTAATTAAAATACAATGTATGAATTAATTTCCTTGTAAATAATCAAATCAACTGAAGAAAAATTTATAAATCTCTTTTTATACCCCACTTACTGTATTGCCAACAAGGAATGAATATGAAGAAGAGACGACTTTCATTATGAGGAAGAGAAAAATTTAATTTTAATTCTTTTTATATCTTATTAATAAGAATAAAGTAATGTCTTTTGTTAGGTTTTTGTGATAGCTATAAAAGTGAGAATGAAATAAAAATAATTAAAAATCATGAATTGAGTAAATTTAATGCTGGATTGAATCATCTTAAAATTCTGCTGGATCATTGACAGAGTTTCAGTGAAATTGCTCTTAAAAATGAAACGGCTTTTTGAAATATAAAAATTAACGACATTAAGAGTTTCAAAATTAATCAAATGACGCGAAAAAAACTGATTTTGCAGATTCAAAAGTTTAACGGCTGCATAGAATTCAAAAAGTTTCGACGAATTTTCACTGGAATAATTAAAGATTGACTGGAAATATTGGAAATTTCAGTAGCTTAACATCCAGTAAAGATTCAGATGATTCAGAACTGAGGAAATAATGACTAGAGTAATGAAATTAACCATCATATTTAATTTAAATGAGTTGTTTACCCAACAAAAATTGAAAATATGATAAAAATAGCCCTTCTAATCAAAAGTTTGATTCTATTGGAATGAAAAGTATGAAGGAGGGGTACAAGCAAACAAGAAAACAGAATATAATTATATATTTTAGATAGTACTGGTATGTTAGAAAATGTAAAGATGATGAATAAAAAAAATGATTTCAAAAATAGACCTTTTGTATTTTTAATTGTCTTTATCATTGACTAAAGTCATTGGCAACAAATATAATAATCATACAACGTATTATGGGCTCGGCATTCAGGCAAAGGCCTGATAATTCCATCGAGTAGTAACAAATATTATGATTATCACTTATTTTTGACTAGCTCGTATGTTGTTTTTCAGAGATAATGCGTGACTCTATTATGAATGAGATGGACTATGACGTGGATTAATTCATTAGATAACGAAATATTAAGATCCTATAAGCAGTTTCATAATGTAATTGCAATTTTTCACTAATATTTGTAATATTACACATCCAATACATCCATCGGAGCCTCTTTATATTCAATAATAAGCAACAACAATATAAACCGCTATATAGGAAAAAGAGAGAATCGCTCGACGAAAGTATACAGCACGAAGTTATTCAGGGCTTCTGATTTAACGGTTTTTTACATGATAAAACTGCCAAACAGCAGAAAAAAGCGCGAATTGAAGCTCTGCTTAACCTTCGTATCACATTGAAAAATATCTCTCTCAGTGCTTCTATACAGAAATATAAAGAAAGCTTGCCATTCTGCATCGAACTGTCAAAGTGTAGACACACAAAAAATTTAAGTGAGTATAATTATCAATTTAATTAACTTTAAAAGAGTTGAAAGTTATCCAAAGTGAACATAAGTTACTAGAGAATGTAATTAGAAGTGAATTATAGTACATCATTAGCTATTTTCTTGACATTTAAGCCTTAAAATTGAGTCAAATTGAGTGATCAAGAATCGCCATTTAATCTCGAAATTTCCACGTTAGCTATTTTAGAATTCAAAGATTTGCCAGTCAATTCACTTAATTTCATTAACATTCTTGTTGATAAACAGCCATTAGTTATAGTTTGTTCCTTTAAAGCAGACTTATAATGATTAATCAATAAATTTAAAATGTCGGAAATTTTTTGGTTGCATAATCAAGTCGATTTACATTGCTAGAGTTATTGAAGAAGCTTTATCTGCTTGATTATAGTATTATTAAGCAACAACATCTAGCAATTGATTAAAAATATTATCAGAAAACATACTTTTTAAAGCCGGCGAAAATTTTTTCTTTGACCTCTAAATGTCCGCTACGAAGTAAAGTATAGACATACACAGTTACATCTTCTCGTTCCTATACGTTTCCCCTCTTAATTTAATGCAATGATATGGGTGTGTGTGTGTGTAGGAAAATTTTATTTTTAAGTTTTCCCGAACCTGTTTCATAATCGAAAAATATTGGTAATTAAAGGGATCTTAAAAGATCCAGTAGACATATCACAAGGACTATTATAATGCCGACATTTTGATCCTATTTGTTTCATGCGCAATATTTTACCGAAAATACAAAAATCAATATTAGACTAATAATAACTCAACAAAAAAAAACTTGGTTCTTCCACAGCTTATTCAAATTCAGCAAATTCTAAGGAAAATACTTAATCATGTCGAAGATTGGAATTAACGGTTTCGGACGTATTGGACGTTTGGTTCTCCGTGCTGCCTTAGAAAAGGGAGCTCAAGTCGTTGCCGTCAACGATCCATTCATCAATGTTGATTACATGGTTTATATGTTCAAATTTGACTCAACCCACGGACGTTTCAAGGGAGAAGTTAAGGCTGAAGATGGAAACCTCGTCATCAATGGAAACAAGATTGTAGTTTTCCAAGAACGTGACCCAAAGAACATTGCATGGGCTAAGGCTGGAGCTGAATATGTCGTTGAATCCACTGGTGTTTTCACAACCATCGACAAGGCATCTGCTCATTTTGAAGGAGGCGCAAAGAAGGTCGTTATCTCAGCTCCATCAGCTGATGCACCAATGTTCGTTGTCGGTGTCAACTTGGATGCTTATAATCCATCAATGAAGGTCGTTTCAAATGCCTCATGCACAACTAACTGCTTGGCTCCACTCGCTAAAGTCGTCCATGATAACTTTGAAATTGTTGAAGGTTTAATGACAACAGTTCATGCTACCACAGCTACACAAAAGACTGTTGATGGACCATCAGGCAAATTATGGCGTGATGGACGTGGTGCTGCTCAAAACATTATTCCAGCATCAACTGGTGCAGCAAAGGCTGTCGGTAAAGTTATTCCAGCATTGAATGGTAAAATTACCGGAATGGCTTTCCGTGTCCCAACACCTGATGTTTCAGTCGTTGACTTGACTGTTCGTCTTGCCAAACCAGCACCAATGGCTGAAATCAAGAAGAAGATCAAGGAAGCAGCTGATGGTCCAATGAAGGGAATTTTGGGATATACCGAAGAAGAAGTTGTCTCATGCGATTTCACAAGTGACACACACTCATCAGTCTTTGATGCCCTTGCCGGTATTTCATTGAATGATCACTTTGTTAAGCTTATCTCATGGTACGATAACGAATTCGGTTACTCACATCGTGTTGTCGACCTCATCAAGTACATGCAATCCAAGGATTAAATTTAAATCCCATCTATTTTATCAACACAACAATAACATCCGTATGCAGATTCTTTAAAAGTGATTGATGACTACCCAAATATCTAATATTGCTGCTACAATTTATAGGCATATTATTATAGATTTCCTCTTTAATAGCCGTTTATGAATTTTAATTAAATATCACAACAAATATTGATTATCCAAAAAAATGTTTGCAAAATCTGATGTCATCAATTGTAACTAGATTTTAAGGCATAATTATTAATTTTTAAGGAAATAAATACATCGTTCTGTGAAGCAGTTACAAAACAGATCAAGCTCTTTTACTCGTTCCTTAATTTTAATTTTCTTACAGAACATTTTGTTTGGAATTGTGATTTACTTTTAATCCTGAAGGATTTATTTAAATCTCAAGGCTAAGCATAAATCGACACACCTCCGACATTTTTAATTATTCCAGTAAAGCCTGAAAATCATCTTTTTGCGACTAGAACATTGAGAATGGCAAATGACCAGATTTAAGAATCTAACGGAACTAGTTTGATTACTACGAAAATAATATGTATCATAATCTGATCCATGATGCTTGCTTATTTGTTTGTGGAAATAATTCACGACATTTAATGACGAACGCAAGCAAACAATCAAAACTTCCAAAAATATTTTGATCAATATTTTATTTTTTCTTACTTCGTCATGACACGTGCGTGTACCAATGACCTTTGAGAAAAGTTCAATAACAGAGAACAATCAAAGAAGCAGCGACTGAATTTCGTAAAAGATGTGACTTTTCTTAATTGTTCTGGGGACTTTTGAATAAGTTGAGCTTGTATTTATTGATTAGGGAAATATTTTTTGGACATTCCCTATTGAGGTACCAAAATCGCAAAAATAATCAATCAATAGACATGACGAACTGACTACAATTCAATAATTGCACACGTTTTTCTTTCATATTATCATTCAAAATAAACCACTAAGTTAAGTCATGACTGATAAGAGCCCAAAGTATCGAATAAAAACGTCTTACAGAATGATATATGACTATTTTCCAAGCATTTTTGTGGGTGACACGATTCAAAAATACGAGAAGAAAGTGAAACACAAATATTACGTCACGAGCAGAATCAAGATTCAAGTTACAAAATGAAGAGAAAATGTAGATTTGCGTTGTGTCAACCGTTGTGCTGCAAAGCAAGGGATTTGAATTTCTGAGAGCTGTTGGAAGCTAGTAATGATGATAATTTTTTGAATCTAATACTTATACTTGCTTTTTGTCATATTTAACCGATTTCATATATAAAATATTCACAAAAACTGAAAATTTGTGTGAATATGAAAACGAACTTTTGAAATTTTTAAAAATTAACGGTTTTCAAAAATTCAAATGAACTGAACTGAGATGAATTGTGATTAACTGAACGTTTTATTTCAAAAAAGTCCGTTGAATACTATAGTTTTTTGATTTCCTGAAAGACGGGTTTAAGTCATGCCAGCCTGTTAATAGAATTATGAAAAACCCGACTTACGTAGAAAGTCACTAGCTTCCGCATTTGACTTATGTTAGATTACAGTTCTTTTATATGTATCACAAAACGAAAATTAGTGTATCGGGTAAACCCAATGTGGATATATTCACACCGTACCATCAAAAGTCTTATGGATAGACCAAGATTTGCTTAGCATAAGTTTGAAGGTATAAAGCTTGGTAAGTTTGAAAGTATAAAACGAGCGAGTCAGCTGAGCTTCGCTGAGCATATGTTTGAAGGTTTAAAGCTTAACGAGCATTCTTTAAAGTTCTTTAAAAACATTTTTCATCCAAAGTTTAATTTTTAAAAATCATAGTCAACTTTTGTTTTGAAAAATTCGTAAGAAAGGAAAGTTTTTTGCTTTTTCTAAGCAACGGCTATTCCTACATTGCCCAAAAACAATACAGCTCTTCTATAGAGCAGCACGGATCAAATGTAAAAAACTAGAAGTCTCTACGATGTCTCGTTATTGAGATTTCTTGCTGATTAACTTGCATGCTTGTTTGCTTGCTTATAGAAAGCGTATTTTGTGATTTTATAAGCAATGCCAAATTGAAATCTTATTTTTTGCAGAAGTTGTGAATTTTTAAACACAAACTTTTCTTCTGGAACCTTTTAAAACCAATTTTGCTTCGTTTTCTCAAAATTGCGAAAACTGAATTTTCAATCTGAACAAAACCAATAGAATTGCATAAGAACGAGAACCAACATAAATACGGTGTAAATATTCCAAATAATTTCAATACAAAAAATAATAAATTTTTTGAAAATAGCCTACTATGATCGAAAACCAAAAATGCTTTAAATTGCATTTTAAAACATATCATGGTCTTATAAATGATAGCGAATGCTAATAAAGATATAAAATCGAATTTTTTTTGAAAATAGCCTACTATGATCGAAAACCAAAAATGCTTTAAATTGCATTTTAAAACATATCATGGTCTTATAAATAATAAAGAATGCTAATATAGATATAAAATCGAATTTTTTTGGAAAATAGCCTACTATGATCGAGAACCAAAAATGCTTTAAATTGCATTTTAAAACATATCATGGTCTTATAAATGATAGCGAATGCTAATAAAGATATAAAATCGATTTTTTTTGAAAATAGCCTACTATGATCGAAAACCAAAAATGCTTTAAATTGCATTTTAAAACATATCTAGGTCTTACAAATAATAAAGAATGCTAATAAAGATATAAAATCGAGATTTAATTTGAAAATAGCCTACTATGATCGAAAACCAAAAATGCTTTAAATTGCATTTGAAAACATATCTAGGTCTTATAAATAATAAAGAATGCTAATATAGATATAAAATCGAGATTTAATTTGAAAATAGCCTACTATGATAGAAAACCAAAAATGTTTTAAATTGCATTTGAAAACATATCTAGGTCTTATAAAAAAATAAAGAATGGTAATATAGATATAAAATCGAATTTTTTTTGAAAATAGCCTACTATGATCGAAAACCAAAAATGCTTTAAATTGCATTTGAAAACATATCTAGGTCCTATAAATAATAAAGAATGGTAATATAGATATAAAATCGATATTTTTTTGAAAAAAGCCTACTTTGATCGAAACCAAAAATGCTTTAAATTGCATTTTAAATCATATCTAGGTCTTACAAATAATAAAGAATGGTAATATAGATATAAAATCGAATTTTTTTTGAAAATAGCCTACTATGATCGAAAACCAAAAATGCTTTAAATTGCATTTGAAAACATATCTAGGTCCTATAAATAATAAAGAATGGTAATATAGATATAAAATCGAGATTTAATTTGAAAATAGCCTACTATGATCGAAAACCAAAACTGCTTTAAATTGCATTTGAAAACATATCTAGGTCTTACAAATAATAAAGAATGGTAATATAGATATAAAATCGAATTTTTTTTTGAAAATAGCCTACTATGATCGAAAATAAAAATGCTTTAAATTGCATTTTAAAACATATCTAGGTCTTATAAAAAAATAAAGAATGGTAATATAGATATAAAATCGAATTTTTTTTGAAAATAGCCTACTATGATCGAAAACCAAAAATGCTTTAAATTGTATTTGAAAACATATCTAGGTCTTACAAATAATAAAGAATGGTAATATAGATATAAAATCGAGATTTAATTTGAAAATAGCCTACTATGATCGAAAACCAAAAATGCTTTAAATTGCATTTTAAAACATATCTAGGTCTTACAAATAATAAAGAATGGTAATATAGATATAAAATCGAGATTTAATTTGAAAATAGCCTACTATGATCGAAAACCAAAAATGCTTTAAATTGCATTTTAAAACATATCTAGGTCTTATAAAAAAATAAAGAATGGTAATATAGATATAAAATCGATTTTTTTTTGAAAATAGCCTACTATGATCGAAAACCAAAAATGCTTTAAATTGCATTTTAAAACATATCTAGGTCTTACAAATAATAAAGAATGGTAATATAGATATAAAATCGAGATTTAATTTGAAAATAGCCTACTATGATCGAAAACCAAAAATGCTTTAAATTGCATTTTAAAACATATCTAGGTCTTATAAAAAAATAAAGAATGGTAATATAGATATAAAATCGAATTTTTTTTAAAAATAGCCTCCTATGATAGAAAACCAAAAATGCTTTAAAATACATTTTAAAACATATCTAGGTCTTATAAAAAAATAAAGAATGGTAATATAGATATAAAATCGAATTTTTTTTGAAAATAGCCTACTATGATAGAAAACCAAAAATGTTTTAAATTGCATTTGAAAACATATCTAGGTCTTATAAAAAAATAAAGAATGGTAATATAGATATAAAATCGAATTTTTTTTGAAAATAGCCTACTATGATCGAAAATAAAAATGCTTTAAATTGCATTTTAAAACATATCTAGGTCTTATAAAAAAATAAAGAATGGTAATATAGATATAAAATCGATATTTTTTTGAAAATAGCCTACTATGATCGAAAACCAAAAATGCTTTAAATTGCATTTTAAAACATATCTAGGTCTTACAAATAATAAAGAATGGTAATATAGATATAAAATCGAGATTTAATTTGAAAATAGCCTACTATGATCGAAAACCAAAAATGCTTTAAATTGCATTTTAAAACATATCTAGGTCTTATAAAAAAATAAAGAATGGTAATATAGATATAAAATCGAATTTTTTTTAAAAATAGCCTCCTATGATAGAAAACCAAAAATGCTTTAAAATACATTTTAAAACATATCTAGGTCTTATAAAAAAATAAAGAATGGTAATATAGATATAAAATCGAATTTTTTTTGAAAATAGCCTACTATGATAGAAAACCAAAAATGTTTTAAATTGCATTTGAAAACATATCTAGGTCTTATAAAAAAATAAAGAATGGTAATATAGATATAAAATCGAATTTTTTTTGAAAATAGCCTACTATGATCGAAAATAAAAATGCTTTAAATTGCATTTTAAAACATATCTAGGTCTTATAAAAAAATAAAGAATGGTAATATAGATATAAAATCGAATTTTTTTTGAAAATAGCCTACTATGATAGAAAACCAAAAATGTTTTAAATTGCATTTGAAAACATATCTAGGTCTTATAAAAATATAAAGAATGGTAATATAGATATAAAATCGAATTTTTTTTAAAAATAGCCTCCTATGATAGAAAACCAAAAATGCTTTAAAATACATTTTAAAACATATCTAGGTCTTATAAAAAAATAAAGAATGGTAATATAGATATAAAATCGAATTTTTTTTTGAAA